CAGGCCCTGCGCTACAGCCTGTCAGCCGCCTGCCAGGAATTGGGCATCTCGACCACCCGTGTCAGGGCCCATCGCGCCCACGGCGACGTGGTCCAAAACCAGAAGCTTTTTGAGAAGCTCCTGGAGCTTAATGCTCCAGAATAGTCCTTCCTGAAACCGGGCAATATATACCAATTTGCAAACAGGCTTCCCTTGTACCTAAAATGGCACCAATCTGGCTACCAAAGTTCGTAAAGTCCCTCCTCTAGTTTATTCCGTGCTTATTCCTAGCAAATTGAAGAGGTAGAGAGATGGTTGAGAATATTGGCGGCATTGAAACGCTACTGCAGGAAGATCGAACGTTTCCGCCTCCCGAAAGCTTTGCTCAAAATGCAAATATAAAGGATCCTGGCGTCTACGAAGAGGCCCGAAAAGATCCTGAGGCCTTCTGGGCACGATTTGCTGGTGAGTTGGACTGGTTCCAAGAGTGGGACCAGGTCCTTGACTGGAATCCTCCCAACGCCAAGTGGTTTGTTGGCGGCAAGCTCAACGCCTCATATAACTGCATAGACCGCCATCTCAAGACAGCCCGCCGCAACAAGGCGGCAATAATCTGGGAAGGTGAGCCCGGGGACTGGAAGGTCTATACCTATTGGGACCTGCACCGGGAGGTCTGCCGGTTTGCCAACGGCCTGAAGAGCCTTGGCGTTCAGAAGGGAGACCGGGTAACCATATACCTGCCGATGGTGCCGGAACTTCCCATTTCCATGTTGGCCTGCGCTCGTATCGGCGCCGCCCATAGTGTTATCTTTGGTGGGTTCAGCGCTGACTCCATCCGGGATCGCCTCGAAGACTCCCAGTCCAAGGTGATGATTACCGCCCGATGGTGGTTACCGCCGTGGCGGCATTGTCCAGCTCAAACAGAATGCCGACGAATCCGTGGAAGGCGACACCCCGGTCGAGAAAGTAGTGGTAGTCAGACGTACCGGCCATGCCGATGACAAGATGGTGGACGGTCGGGACGTCTGGTGGCACGACCTGGTGGAAGACCAGCCCCTCACCTGCGAACCGGAGGCGATGGACAGCGAGGACATGCTCTACATGCTGTACACCAGCGGAACCACCGGAAAGCCCAAGGGAATTGTCCACACCACGGGCGGCTACCTGACCGGGACCTATGCCACTACCAAGTGGATATTTGACCTCAAAGAAGACGATGTGTATTGGTGCACAGCCGACATCGGGTGGGTAACCGGACACAGTTACATCGTTTATGGCCCGTTGGCCAACGGCGCTACCTCGGTTATGTACGAAGGTTCGCCGGACTACCCGGACCGTGATCGCTTTTGGGCTATCATCGAAAAATATGGCTGTACTATTTGTTACACGGCGCCCACGGCGATACGTACCTTCATGCGCTGGGGCGAGGAGTATCCCAACCGGCACGACATGTCCACCCTCCGGCTGCTGGGTTCGGTGGGCGAGCCGATAAACCCGGAGGCTTGGGTTTGGTACTGGCAGCACATTGGCGGCGGCCGTTGTCCCGGTTGTTGACACCTGGTGGCAGACCGAGACGGGATCGATATTGATTGCGCCCCTGCCCGGCATAACCACCCTAAAACCCGGCTCTGCGACGCATCCATTCCCCGGCATCGAGGCGGAGATTCTGGATGAAGCCGGCAACCCCGTTGGTCCCGGCGGAGGCGGCTACCTGACAATCAAACGTCCGTGGCCTTCAATGCTGCGCGGGATTTATGGCGACCCGGAACGTTTTGTGGAGCAGTACTGGTCACGATATCCCGGTACTTACTTCACCTCCGACGGCGCCAAGCTGGACGAAGACGGGTACTTCTGGCTGCTGGGCCGGGTGGACGATGTAATCAACGTGTCGGCGCACCGCATAAGCACCATGGAAGTGGAAAGCGCCTTGGTGGACAATTCCAAGGTTGCTGAAGCCGCCTGCATAGGAAAAGCCCACGAGATTAAGGGCCAGGCGATCGTCGCGTTTGTGACCATCAAGGACCAGATTCAGACTTCGGACGAATTGATCAATGAACTTAAGGCCCACGTCGCTACCAAGATTGGCCCAATGGCCCGTCCTGATGATATTTACTTTGCGGCTGAACTTCCCAAGACCAGGAGCGGCAAGATCATGCGTCGCCTGCTCAGGGACGTAGCGGAAGGCCGCGCTCTCGGTGATACGACAACCCTGGCAGACCCGGCAGTGGTGGAATCGCTGAAGGCCCAGTATGGGGACGAGGAATAAGCTGACAGCCGCAGAATGTAGTCCCTGTTAGAGCTCTCCACATGAGGCGCCGACTGCAGAGAATTGTTGGCGCCTATATGTTGCAATTAGTCAATAACCAAGGACGCAGTTGACTAACAATGTACCGTATCCTGATATTCCTGCTGATTATATTTTCCGTGACTGTTGTTGTAGAGATTGTCGCAGTAACGGTCTGGCGAGACTACGAACAGCACGGCGCAATCTCTTTGGGACGTGCTTTCAATGCCGTCTTGCCACTTAGTCCCAACGAGCCCATCCAGCAGTCCACGGCAAACGCCTCTCCAGACTCGACGTCAGCAAGCTCGGTGCTGGTAATCTCCGGGCAAGAACTATCAGCTTTTCGACAGGAATTTCTGTATTTAATTAATTCGGAACGTGTTCGCGCCCGAGTAACGCCTCTTACCCCTAGGCGACAACCCGGCAGCCCAGCATCACGCCGATAGCATGATGACTTACGGCTATAGGTCGCATTGGGACGTTAACGGTATGACACCTGAAATGCGCTATACCCTGGCCGGCGTGGTCGGTCGAGTTAAGCAAAATATCGCCGGGCCGGTTGAGACAAGGGATTCAGAGGGAGACAGAGTTGAAATCTTGCGGGAGGCCTCTGGGCGGATTCATCAGGACTTCATGGCTCGGCAAGAGGAAAAGTCAACCATCCTGGACCCTTGGCACCAACAGGTTAATCTGGGGATAGCTTGCCGGAACTCGCAGTGCTGGGTAGTGCAACAGTTTGAAAGCAACCACATCAGATTCAGCACCCTTCCATTTGTTTCAGAAGGGACACTTAGATTGGCGGGTGAATTTCAACAAGGGCTTGAATTAGACGGAATAGCTCTGTGGTACCACCCATATCCCCGCCCGTTGGGATTGGGCCAATTGGATGCCACCTATCATTACGGCAACGGGCAACGGCCAATTACCTTCCTTCGGCCTTCCCCTGAACCTGGGCAGTATTATCCCAGCCAGTTGGTCAGTTATGCGTGGAGAAACGGCATCGACCCTTACACTCTTGAGCCGGCATTGGGCAGAAGTGCAGCGCCACCGTTACGGGTGGAGATAGCCCAGTCGGCGGCAGTGCCCTGGACTACCGCCAGTCTGTGGCGTGACTCAGGAGCTTCTTTCGAGGTGGCAGCCGACTTGTCTGAGGTGGTCGGTAGATTGGGTAGTGGTGTCTACACAGTCCAGGTTTGGGGTAAGAAGGACGGTGAAAAAGCACCCGTCGCCAACCATTCGATTTTTCCTGCAATAGCGCAACGAACCCTCGCCCTGGGTGCGACGATTGGATCAGGTCGAGTAAAACCAAACCCTGATATAATACCTGACGAAACACGACCAAATTTTATAGCGAAGCCTATTTCGTATAGATGACATGAAATACGAAACCGTAATAGGGTTGGAAGTCCACGTACAGTTGCAGACCCGCAGCAAGATGTTCTGTGGCTGCCCTGCTGACTACCAATATGCTCCCGCTACAGCCGTGTTTGCCCCGTATGCCTGGGGTTGCCCGGGTCTCTTCCGGTGGTAAACCGTAAGGCGGTGGAATACACCATAATGACCGGCCTCGCCCTGGGTTGCCAAATACCGGAGTATTCCAAGTTCGACCGCAAGAATTATCCCTACCCGGACTTGATGAAGGGTTACCAGATTTCTCAGTATGACTTGCCCCTGGCCGAAGACGGTGCGCTGCAGATTGAAGCGGACGGAACAACTAAGTCCATAGGTGTGACCCGAGTGCATCTGGAAGAAGATGCCGCCAAGTTGTTGCACCATCCGGATGGGCCTGGCGATTCCTTTAGCCTGGTGGACGTCAACCGGGCCGGTTCGCCCCTTATGGAAGTAGTCAGCGAACCGGACATGCGGTCACCGGAGGAAGCTCGCGCTTACCTTGTTACTCTGCATTCAATAATTCAGCACTTGGGAGTTTCCGCCGGCAATATGCAGGATGGCAATTTTCGATGTGACGCCAACGTCAGCATCAGGCCGGAAGGCAGCCAGGAATTTGGGACACGTACCGAAATCAAGAATATGAACAGTTTCCGGTCCGTGTATCAAGCGCTCAATCACGAAGTCGAACGGCAACGGCGCGTCCTGGAGGACGGTGGGCGCGTGACCCAGGAAACCCGCGGCTGGGTGGAAGAACGAGGGGTGACGGTATCTCAGCGCAGCAAGGAGCATGCTCATGATTACCGCTATTTCCCTGACCCCGATCTGCCCCCCCTCGTTATTGACCGGAAGTGGATAGAGGAGATCCGTCAGGCTTTGCCGGAACTGGCCGTTGAACGCAAGGCTCGGTTCGTTGAGCAGTATGGGTTGCCCCTGTATGACGCTGAACTACTGACCGGAACTAGACCCATGGCGGACTATTTTGAGGAAACTCTGGCTTTGCGCCCCGAGTCTGACCTGTCTCTGAATGCATATGCCAAGAGCGTTAGCAACTGGATGTTAGGTGACTTGAGTCGCCTGATGAATCTGGAAAATCTGGCGGTCCCCGAAGTCAAGTTCGGGCCCAAACACCTGGCAGAACTGCTTTCCCTGGTGGATTCCGGAACTCTCAGCGGTAACATGGCGAAGGCGGTTTTGGAAGAGGCTTTCACCACTGGGGAGGAACCGGGTAGAATTGTTAAGGCCAAAGGACTGAGCCAGATAGACGACTCTTCGGTTGTCGACTCTGCGGTGGCTCAAGCCTTGACTGGGAATCCCAAGGCCGTCGCTGACTACCTTAGTGGCAAGGATACGGCGTCGAAGTTCCTAGTTGGTCAGGTGATGAAGCTGACCCGCGGTCAAGCCAAGCCAGACCTGGTGCTGGAATTGGTCTTGGCAGCCTTGGATTCTGCTAAGGAAAACCAGTAAAAATTGGCTTCAGACCGGTGCTGTCACAGGTCTGTTTCACTCCGGTAAAGCTTGAGGGAGTTATCCTGTTGTTCAGGCAAGAACTCCCGCCGCCGTCATTTAGAGGAATAATTTGATCTATCTGAACATTGCACAAATATTGGTATCAATAGTCCTGGTGCTTGTCATTCTCAGCCAGGTAAAGGAAAGTGGCAGTGGCCTCTTCGGAAGCGCTCAGTCCACAGTCCGGACCAGGAGAGGTCTGGAAAAGACCCTGTTCCAGTTCACTATTGCCCTGTCCGTACTTTTTATCGTAGTTTCCATAATCAGTGTCGGACTGTTTTCCGGTTAATGCCCTAGTTTGGGTGTTAACCGATCTCCTTAAAGATTTGGCGGGCTCATGACCGGCCCGACTCCATTGCTTGCCCCAATTGTCCTGACTACTGACTTTGGGCTATCTGACGCTTTTGTGGGAGTGATGAAAGGTGTCATTCTCAACATCAACCCATATGCCACCATAGTTGACCTGACCCATGAAATTGGTCCGCAAGGTCTCAGGCAAGGTTCATTTGTCCTGGGAGTAAACCACTCCTATTTCCCTCAAGGTGCCATTCACGTTGCAGTGGTCGACCCGGGTGTTGGCACCAGCCGCAAGGCCATAGTTCTCGAAACTCCAGAGGCCAAATTCGTTGCGCCGGACAACGGGTTGCTCAGCGAAGTAGTTAAAGGGTACTTGGAAACGACTGCCTCGGTTAAGCGATACTCTCCAACGGTACCTTTGCCGCCAACTCTGAAAGCCTACGAACTTGCCAATCGCCAATACCGGTTAACTCCCGTTAGCAGTACCTTCCATGGTCGGGACATATTTTCGCCAGCCGCCGCTTACCTGTCCCTCGGAATACGCCCCGAGGATATGGGTCCCTCGGTGTCAGACATTGTATACCTTCCTCTGCCGAAGCCCTTGGTCAGCATGGGACGGGTGTCAGGCGAAGTAATCTACATCGACCGCTTCGGCAATCTCATCACCAACATTCGGGAAGCCGATGTGCTCATTGCCGGAGGGAACGAGCACACGCCGACGGTCAGCATTGACCGCCGCCGCATCTCTGGGTTAAGTCAAACCTTCCATGACGACAATGCTCAGGTTCCGACCCAACCCGACGGCCTTTTCTTGTTGGCACTGTTTGGCAGCAACGGCTACTTGGAGGTTGCAATGCGGGATGGAGATGCCGCAAGAGCCCTGGGGTTAAGTGTAGGTGCACCGGTATCGCTTAGCTTTGGTTCCTAGCTGCGGCCCTTGCTATTGACATCCCTTACCCCCGTGCTACTATGGGGAAAATTTCGCCTGTGGTTGAATCTGAGCTTCACGGCTAAGTAAGAGAGGATATATGGAACTCGACCGAGACATGCTGCTCTATCTCTACAAGACGATGACAACCATTCGGCATTTTGAAGAGAGAGGAATCCCCGAAACCGGTCAGCGCGGAATGTCCGGTTCGGTTCATTCATCCGCCGGACAGGAGGCAGTGCCAACCGGGATATGTGCCCACCTAAGTGATGACGATTTACATTGGTAGCACCCACCGTGGTCACGGTCACTGCATCGCCAAAGGCGTCGATCCCAAGCTCATGATGGCCGAGTTGTTCGGTCGGACTACCGGTCCCAACAAAGGCAAGGGTGGGTCGATGCACATAGCTGATATGAGCAAGGGAATGCTGGGCACCAATGGCGTGGTAGCTGCCAGCGTCCCACTGGCCTTGGGAGCTGCGTTGACTTCCAAGTTACGCGGCTTGGGACGCGTAGCCGTGGCCTTCTTTGGGGATGGCGGGGCCAACCAGGGTGTATTGCATGAATGCATGAACCTGGCTTCGGTCTGGAAGCTGCCCGTGATCTTCTGCTGCGAAAACAACGGCTACGCCGAATCCACGCCGGTGGAGTACGCCTTGTCTACTGCCAGGGTAGCTGACCGCGCTGCGGGTTACGACATGCCAGGAATCCACGTGGATGGCATGGATGTCTTTGACGTGTTTGAAGCTGCCGGTGAGGCAGTGAGGCGCGCTCGAGCAGGCGAGGGGCCGTCCCTTCTGGAGTGCCGGACTTATCGCTTTTACGGCCACACGGTGTTCGATAATCCCCTCAGTTATCGAACTCAGGAGGAACAGGACTACTGGCGTACGCGGGACCCGCTGAAGCTTTTCAGGGAAAGGGTAGTTCCAGGAGAAATGGGTTGAATTGGCCGAACTTGATAGTCTCGATGAGGAGGCCAGGCAGCTGATGGAAGATGCTATCCAGTTTGCCGACGAGAGTCCCTTGCCTGAACCGCTGGAGATCTATGACGATGTATACGTTGACTATCCAGTTGGCATGATGCGGCGCGGCGCCAATATGGAAGTCTAGTCTTTACCCGCCTGATGAGTACCACCCAAAAGGGAGGAACAAAACTATGACGACCGCAATGACTCCCAGCACCACACGGGAGTTGCGTTACCGCGAGGCCATTAACGAGGCCCTGCGCCAGGAAATGGAACGCGACGAAACCGTAATTATCATGGGTGAAGAGATTGCCGGTGGAGCAGGACGCGAGCATCTGGGTATCGTGGATGCCTGGGGTGGTCCCTTTCGCACCACCGTGGGACTTATCCAGCAATTCGGCAACCAGCGGGTGCTGGATACTCCTCTTTCGGAGGCCGCCTTCGTTGGAACTGCCATAGGCGCGGCTTCCACCGGTATGCGGACCATAGCGGAGTTGATGTTTGTCGATTTTGTCGGCGTGTGCATGGATCAGTTGCTGAATAACGCTGCCAAGATGCGCTATATGTTCGGTGGCCAGGTAAAGGTGCCCTTCACCATGCTGACTCGAATCGGCGCGGGATTTGGCAGCGCCGCTCAGCACTCCGAGTCCTTCTACTCCATTTTCAGCCACATTCCGGGATTGAAAGGTGTTGTGCCCTCAGACCCATACACGGCCAAGGGTTTGCTGATTGCGGCTATCCAGGACGACGACCCGGTGATCTACTTTGAACATAAGGGCCTTTACGGTGACATGGGCCCAGTGCCCGAGGAGCCCTATGCCATACCCATTGGCAAGGCCCGAACCGTCCGTTCCGGCAGTGACATCACTCTTGTGGGAATTTCTCGCATGACGTGGGTGTGTACCGAGGCGGCCGAAGAACTGGCCAAGGAAGGCGTAAACGCCGAGGTGGTTGATCTGCTTAGCGTTTCGCCCATCGACTACGACCTGATCATAGACTCTGTCCGCCGCACCCACCGCCTGGTGGTTGTTGACGAAGATACTCCCGTCTGCAGCTTAGCATCGGACATCTGTGCCCGGGTTGCAGAAGAAGCCTTCGATTACCTCGACGCACCACCGTCCCGGGTAACTGCCCCCCATACACCCGTCCCCTACAGCCGTCCGCTGGAGAACCTCTATGTCCCCAACGCGTCCAGGGTGATAAAGACGGTTCAGGGCTTGGTGAGCAGAGGATAGGCCTCCGACACTAGTTCTACGGAACAGTAATTATGCTTGAGCATCGGGAGCAGGTTATTTGGGGCCCAATCGAAAGTGGGTGCTAAGCAGCCTGCTCCCGACCGGTTTTGACTCACCCCGCTGTAAATGCTGTTGTAATTACCTTCTCGTATGGTTGCCATTCTTTAACCATTCCAGATGCCACCAGAATCTCCTGCAAGCCATCGTATTCCGGCCTTCCCAGAAAGGGCGTGGCCGGCCACGTCCCTTGGTCCTTGTAACGGGCTATGGACCCAGTAATGAGCTCTGGATTGGTCTCCGGGAAGAACTGGGCCACGGGATCTGAAACGTCCTCCGAGGTAGCCGCAGAAAGCCAGGACAATGCCTTCGAATAGCCGGTTACAAAGCGGTGAACCACGTCCGGCCTGGAGTTGAGGTAACTGTTGGTGGCGGCAAAAGAACTGTATGCAATATGGCCGTTCACCTTACCCAAGGCCACTGTAAGGTTGCCTACACCTTCTGAAAGCAATTGCTCCGCCGCGGGTTCCGGCAGGTGAATGAAGTCTGCCTGTCCGGCACGAAAGGCCTCCACCGCATCGATGAGCCCAAGCCCCGGCATAAGGGTCAAATCCTCAACCGCTACTCCGTTGTTGCGCAGTGCGTACTGAAGAGACGCCCAGGGCATGGGTGAAAACCCGACCGGGATAATCTTTGATCCTTCAAAGGCTGACCAACTGAAGTTACGGGCTTCCTGCCTGCCCAGCACGAAGAACCCGTCCCGGCTGTTTATTTCGGCAAAGTGGCGTGGCACCGTTTCTCCACCCCAGTCTGCGGCAATAATGGAACGCATGATGCCGCTCTGCACAATATCAGCTGCCCCGTTATTCAGCGCACTCAGGGGATGGGGAAACTGGGGTGGGCAAGATTCAAAATGCACGTCTAGCCCTTCGGTCTCAAGGTAGCCCCCGGCAAGGGTCACGTAAATGGGTGTATAAAAGACGGTGCGAAAGGTTTCCATCAAGTTTACCCGGAAGCGTTCTATGGTCACAGGTTCAACTCCTCTGTTCGAAAGTCTGCTGGCAGTGTTTGCCGGGTTAACCGGACAAAATGGAAGGGGACGCACAACGTTGTGCGCCCCCTTTACAACTAATTCTGCAGTGTGCAACCCTGGCCCTAGCGTTGGGGTTGAAGAAAAGCCAACAAAGCGTCGATGAACGCTTCGGGGTCTTCTATCTGGGGTATGTGGCCCAAGCCCGGCAGGACCGTCTTGCTGGCGTTGGCTATGTTGTTGTGCAACAGTTCTTCCCCATCCCGTAGCATATCCTTCTCGCCGTACATCACCAATGTGGACGAAGCCTTGATAAGAGGCAAACGCGACATTATGTCGTAGTAAGACAGCGACTGATGGAGGTTCCTTACCCACTCCCCGGCCTGTTCCCGGGTCTGGTTGGTGGCGTCCACCCATTCCGGCCTGGGATCAGCAAAGGTGGCCCGTTCTTTCATTTGTTCCAGGGTGCGAGGCTTGGGGTTGCCATTTTCTTCGTAATCCCCGGCGGTGTCTGCCACCCGCTGGTTGCCACCCCAGGGATTCCAAAGGGGGCAGCCAACCAGCGCCAGCTTGTCCACCCGTTCCGGGAAACTGGCCGCCATTTCCGTGGCCAGGCAGGCGCCCACGGAGTTGCCAACATAATGGCCCCGATGAATGTTTAAAAGCTGGCACGCATCGTCCAGGGCAGTGGCGTAATCGGGAATATTGAAGTGGCGGCTAGGCTTGTCAGATTCGCCGTGGCCCAGCATATCGAAAGCATAGCAGGTATAGTGCTGGCTCAGAGAGTCAATTACGGTATGCCAGGCCCAGGTTGAAGTTCCAAGGGGATGAAGCATAACCAGCGGAAACCCGGAGCCCTGCTTGACGAAGTGCATATTGCCTTCCCGGGTTGGAACGCTATCGGTGAGGTCCCTGCGGACAAACATAGTCCCTCCTTATCTTTCGGCGGCAAGTTCTTGCATTTTCTACAGTTGTCCCTATCCTAGCCAGCCGCAATAGGTCTGTCAATTTGGACTTCGAGTACGAAATCCACAGGCTTTGCGCGCTCTGAACTCTAGCTCTAACGTAGACACTCTGAAGGCCGGGAGGAGAGCCTAGCTGCGCAAGGTATGAGATACTGAATATTACTCTTCCTTATACAGAGTTTGCTTTTGCCAATTTTCTGTGGCACGATAGATTCATAGATATATCCGCCTCGGCCTCCTCTTGGCAGTTCCGGATCAAGGAAGGTGCCTATGTGGACGAAAGACGACCTCCAAAAGCTCGTTCAACGACAAACTAGCGAATTTCGGCTGATCATAGTTTCCAACCGCCAACCCTACATCCATGACTTGGTTGATGGTGAGCCCCAGTATGTAGTCCCTTCAGGCGGCTTGACTGCCGCCTTAGACCCCCTGATGCAGGCCTGCGGCGGAACTTGGATTGCCTACGGCGGCGGTAAGGGAGACAAGTACATTGTTGACCGTGACAGTAGGGTGATGGTTCCACCCGACAACCCTTCCTATTCCTTGCGGCTGGTGTGGCTCACGGAAGAAGAGGAGCAGGGCTATTACTATGGTTTCTCCAACGAAGCTCTATGGCCTCTGTGTCATAACGCCTACACCGAACCCATTTTCGATCTCAGGGACTGGCAAACCTATCAGGCGGTAAACAGGAAGTTTGCCGATCTTGTACTAGATGAGGTGGGCGACAGTCCCGCTATTGTGCTTACCCAGGACTACCATCTGGCGCTCTTGCCTCAATATCTGCGTCAATCCTCAGCTCCGATCATTACCGGGCAGTTCTGGCACATTCCCTGGCCCCACTCTGAGATTTTCCGCATTTGTCCATGGCAGGCTGAACTCATGGAGGGCCTGCTGGGAAATAATCTGCTGGGTTTTCACATTGGCGACCACTGCAGCAACTTTATGGATGCTGCTTCCCGTACCTTGCCTGTGCGGGTGGACACTGAATATAACCGCATCGATTACCAGGGGGAGACGACCCTGGTCCGTCCATTCCCCATCAGCATCGACTTCGAAGATATCTGCCACTTGTCGGAAAGCGTCGAAGTCGAGGAGGAAATGGAACGAATCAAGGAAGAATGGGGGTTCTCTGACCAGCTAATTGGCTTGGGCATTGACCGGGTGGACTACACCAAGGGGATTCCGCACCGGTTCAGGGCTATTGGCAGGTTCTTCGAAAAATATCCGGAATATATGGGAAAGGTGGTCTTCGTCCAGGCCGGGGTCTTGAGCCGGAGCGACATCGAGGCTTACCAGCTGTTGGGTGGCCAGATAGATCGCTTGGTGGGTGAAATTAACAGCCGGTTCGGGTACGGCGACTGGCAACCTATTGTTTATAAGCCTGATGACCTTCCTTCCGTGACGTTGATGGCCCTTCGGCGCCTCTCCCGGTTCTGCATTGTTAGTTCGCTGCATGATGGCATGAACCTGGTAGCCAAGGAGTACGTGGCAAGCCGCTTTGACGACGACGGAGTTCTGATCCTAAGTCCCTTTGCCGGCGCCGCTTTGGAGCTTACGCAGTCCCTTATAGTCAATCCATACGCCACCGAAGAAATGGCCGACGCTATTCGAGACGCGGTAACCATGCCGTCGGAAGAACGGAGACGCCGTATGGCGCACATGCGGGGCATAGTCAGGGAAAATAACATATACAAGTGGGCTGCCCGCCTTCTGGTAGAGTTGATGCAGTGCGCCAGGGAAACCAACTTCAGACGTTCCCTTTACGCTTCCGCCACCGCTAGGTGAGTCCGGCCGTTGGTCCATCACTGACAACATGCCTCACCTTCTGAATGTCTGGCCCCGTGTCAGCCGTCAAATTTCGGAAGCCGAACATGTGCTGATGCTGTTCGACTATGATGGCACTCTTTCTCCTATTGCCACACGCCCCGATCTTGCCGCCCTACCCGGCGAGACCCGCGATTACCTCCAGGCATTGAACAGTAAGGCAGCTTATTCCTTGGGAATTGTAAGCGGAAGGAGCTTGGACGACGTTTCTGCAATGGTGGACGTGCCAGGGCTAATTTATGCCGGCAATCACGGCCTTGAGATTCAGTGGGAAAAGGAAGAGTTCATTCACCCTGAAGCGCTGGCGTTGCAACCTGTCATAGATTCCATACTGAGGGACCTGGATGACAGGTTGTCTGGGTATGAAGGAGTTCTGGTTGAAGGCAAGGCTCTTACTCTTACTGTACACTACCGACTCACTCCGGAGTCGCTTCTCACCCAAGTACATGCCGGGTTTGATGCGGCGTTGAGCGACTATGCTGGCAGCGGCAGAGTACGCATAACCAGAGGCAAGGAAGTCCTTGAGGTGCGTCCCAACATTTCCTGGGACAAGGGGAGAGCCATTGACAAAATAGCTTCCCAATTCGCCGATAGCACCCTTTCGGTATTCTTCGGGGACGACGTAACCGATGAAGACGGTTTCGCCGCTATTCGCGAACTGGGTGGAATATCCGTGTTTGTTGGCGGTGCCCGCGAACCCACCCGCGCCCTTTACCGGGTGGACTCCCCAGCAGAAGTTGCCGAGACACTAAGACTGCTTACAGAGTTGTAGGCTGGGAGAATCCCTGTCAGAAAGGTTGTTCCCTATCCTTCAGCTTCTACCCGGTTAAGCTTGTCCAGTCGGCGCTGAAACCGCGGTTCCGGTATGAAGCTGGCGCCCAGGAATGCGGTTACGATCTCTTTCGACAAGTCCAGCCCAACTATGCGAGCCCCGAGGCAGATCACATTCATGTCATCATGTTCGACGCCCTGATGACCGCTGTAAGTGTCGTGGCATAGCCCGGCACGGACGCCCGAAACCTTGTTCGCAGTGATACTGGCCCCAACTCCGCTTCCGCAGCAAATGATTCCTCTTTCCGCCTGCCCAGATTGAACCGACCTGGCTACCGCTTCCGCAAAATCTGGGTAGTCGTCGTTCGGGTCCAGGTCAAAAGCCCCCAAATCCACAACCAGGTGACCTGACGACTCAAGCCAGGGTGTCAGTTGTTCCTTAAGGGGAAGGCCGGCGTGGTCTGCGCCAATGGCGATCTGCATTTTCTGCTGCTCCGTAAAGGGCGCGGTCCCAATTGTCATAACCAGCATAGAGTGATTCGTAAGTCTGGGCAAGTCAAATAACGTTCCTTTAATGTAATTGTCATATGATTCACAAGTCTTGCGGGCTATGCTAGAATGCCCTATCAAATGCCCGTCCCGGACAAATATTTAATGCCCTGTTTCATTGAAGCTATCAATAATGATTGCAAAAATCCGGGTTGCCGGGAGAGTCACTGGTAGATGATCAAAGCGATATTTTTTGACTTCTACAACACACTGGTACGGTTCTGGCCTCCGTTGGACCAGATTCAGCAGGCGTCATGCCGGGAATTCGGCTTCAACATGGATCCGCAGACCATCAATTATGGCTATTCTGTGGCCGATGTCTACTTTAACCGGGAAAACGAAATCAAGCCTCTGGCCACCCGCAACGAGGAAGAACGCCTGATCTTTTTTGCGCGCTACGAACAGATCCTTCTTGAAAGCGCCGGCCTGTCCGTAACCTTGGACTTGGCCCGCCAGATTTGGCAAATAGCCATAAGTGTCCCAAAAGACTTTATCGCCTTCGAGGACGCTTTGGTGTCGCTGGAACGGTTGAAAAGCAAGGGGTACCAAATTGGAGTTGTATCCAACCTGCGCAGGGACGTGACAGTTCGTCAGTGCACATGCCACGATTGGGTATGATACTCCCTATTTTGGATTTACTGATTTAAAACCCCATGCCAGAGTGAATCG